AACGGCGCTGAGTCGCTATAATGATTTTCCTGCCTGTTCCAAGCTTAATTGACTCGGGGGCGACCGGTCGCTTGCGTTTTCACTCTAATCCTGTTTGAAAAAGTTTTATCTCGAATCCTCTCTCTCTCCCTCTCTCTCGCCGGTAAAGAGCACAAAAACGCTTAATTTTCGAGTCCACGAAGCGGATTCAGTTCGCAGCTTGGTGCGGAAGAGCGGGAAAAAAGAACGGAGGAAGGGAGAGGATGGAGAGGCGCCGAGAGGCTACTGTAAATTACGTGGATTTTCGCTCTCGCCGTAAATACTTGGGTTATCATACAGTCGGAAGCGCGACAAACACTCGTACTCGCGCGGCCAGTCCATTCATTCGCTCTGGGTTATCAAATGTAATAGTTCACGCGAGCGGCGCCCTCGAAAACTTTCATTTAGCGCCCACTCGTAATTAATATTCTTTTCGCATTAGAGAGAAGAGAGAGAGAGAGAGAGAGAGAGAGAGAGAGAGAGAGTTTCACGAGCCACTTGAACTGTAGAGCTAAGGATGAATGTGCAGCGACGGAACTTTCAGTTCTGCCGATTTGGCACTATTTTACGGGGCCACGGGCTTTTCATGTTCCGTACCGCCTCGTGTGTTCCGTGAAAAAAAAAATGATATTTCATTTGACTCTCTCTTTTCAGGCTTTATTAAAATGTGGAATTGAGAGAGAACATCTTTTTTTCGCCTCTTGTACGCGCGTATTTATCATCAAAGTTTTTGATATTTTTTTTCCAACCAAGTTGCTCCCTTCCTCTCTCTGTATCTCTGTATCTCTCTCTCTCTCTCTCTCTCTCTCTCTCTCTCTCTCTCTCTCTCTCTGTCCTTCTTTTTTAACATTGTAAAGTCTGTAAAACGAGACTCATTCATTGATGTGAAATGCGTTTAATTACCGATGTTTACTTTCACTCAAAGGACTTTGGCGAGTTGCTGTTTTGCTTTATCAGGGATGCACTAACGCGGTTTAATTAATTGAGTATTCCATCATATTCAATATTGAACTAGAAGTTTGAGCAAAAAATTATAGAAATCACCCCACCACATGAGAAATATTATGATTTTTATGCATGAAGTGGCTGATCGTGTTATCTTTCAAATTACTCAGATTAATCACACCCATGTCGCCAAAGACTGATTAAAGGCTAAGTGCGAAGATCCATTATTTCTTATTATATTCTCATCTAGACTAGACTAAGCTGCATGCATTTTTCGTTGACGATGATCCGATTTATTTTTCCTTCTCCTCTTCATTAGTATTATTTTCATAATGCGCCTCTCTTCGACGCGACGAATGCGAAATTTCATTTATCATAGTAATTAATATCAATTATCCACGCGGCAATTTAGAGCGCATTATGCAGCAGACCACATTCTAATGACCATGAAATTTATCTGACAGTTGAATGGGCGCGTTAAACGACTACGACAACGACGTTTTCCGAGAGAATTTTTAAGCATCGCTGGAAGAATAATCCTCGGGAGTGCATAAAAACAGCTCTTAACGTTCCATGAGTTACGAGATCGTCAAAATAGAAAATATCATAAGTATTTTACAGCATATAACGTAGTCTAGGAGAGTAAGAGAGAAAGAGAAAGCGTGAAGCGTCATAGGACGGTTTATACACTCGTGCGCGCGCGCGCGCGCGCGCGATAAAATTAAAACGGCACAATTAAAATTCAAACTGCGAGAGCGAGCAACACCTTTACGGCATAGTCGCACTGTCATAGTCTTGTCGTAAAATGCGCCCAACGCGCTCACTTGCTCGCTCGCGGAAGCCATTAACTCCTTAGCTCCAGTAGTAACGAACTTGTGTAGGATGCAAGTCCAACGCCGTTAATATCGTCCTCGCGTGCGCTAAAGCGACTCTTTTCCGGCTTTATGGATCTCGCAGTCGTGCGAGGACGAATTGATTCGCTCCCAATTCTTTAGTTTTCCTTCGCTTATAAACATCGTTTCGTATATATCAGCTAAGGCGAAATATTGTATTTCCGATAACTGAACGAACAAGAACATTGCCGTTTGTAATTACGTCTCGTTGTAATCCGTTCAAATCACAAATGCAACATCATGAAGTATTCCACGAAAATACCTCGGCGCTCGCAGTTAACAGCATCTCGCGAATTACGCTAATTTCGTAAACACATTATTCGCGCCTCGAAACAAAAACCAATTACCCAGTAACAAGCTAGCGGATCGACTGCCTCAGTCTCTCTCTTCGCTACTCGCCATGAAAAATAGACGGTGTAATCGGTGTGCTTGGGGAAGGACGAAAATGAACAACAATGATGAAAATCAAGCACGCAAGAAAGAGAGGGAGAACCAAAGAGATTGTGTCTTTATCCGTCATTCGCATGCGCAGGCTTGTAAATGACCCGATTATTCCAACAGCAGCACCACTGACCGGGACATTTGAAATTCATACGCGAGTGTTCTCCGATATTCCGTTGCTGCCGCTGCGCTCTGTCGAGAGCTTTTCGATGCTGAACCGTAAGTTTCAGATGCAATTCTTTGGCCTTGGTACTGCTGGAGTTTGTCTTGTGATTTATTAGCACGTTGTCAATATTCGAATAAAAAACATCAATCGTAATTTTCACGTAGCGTTTATATGTGCATCATGTTAACATTAATAAAATTAACGAGCATGAAATTTCGCATTAATAAATTCAAGTGTAACGTAACTACTGATCAAAAACGCGTCTGTAGAAAAAAAATAATAAAAAGATTTAATTTGCGCAAACGTGTATAACGAGTAGCTGCAATTAACGTCTTGATTGCTCATGGAGACCGAATTCGCCGTGTATAATTTTATCAATATATACTTAATTAACTTCGAGTCTGATGATTCGCATCGTCGTAAATTCACGCATTTACACAACCGATTAAACATCCGTAAACGCTGAATGTAATTATTCAAGCGTCGTACTACTATTATTATTCGAAATATCGAAGACAAACAAAGCGCGGCTAATTTAAATAATAGCTCACGGAAAAAGAAAACAAAAAAAACGAGCCACATAAATGCTAATTCAGCTCGTAACGCCCCGTATAGTTGCATTAAATTTTCATCAAGAAAAAACGTACGGGCTGGCATAATGAAAACATACAGGTGCAGGCGACCTTAAAGAAACTGGTATTTGCCTCTCGGGTTGAATCTCTCACTCACTCCCCCCCTCCCTCTCGTTCCGTGGTGCAAGTATCTATATGTATATGCACGTACAGAGGAGTGTGGTGCAGATCGTATATAGCATGTCCGTGGTGCGCGCGCGTTCGCCGAATAGAAATCGTTGAAATTGAAACCCGCACAGAGGAGGCAGCGGCACGTTCCGACCGCATTACCGTATATATATTTCTGCATGAGCCGCCAGGCAAACAACAATTCATTTCTGCACAATCGCGCTCGGCAGCGGCTCTCCCTTCGTCGCTCTGTGCGACGGGCTTTATGGGCTCCGATTCACAAAATTCCAGCAGGCAGAGCGAGGCACTTCTCTCTTGCTCTCTCGCTTGGGGAATATTTGTAGTATGGGTTATACTTTTTCCCTCCCAAGGACGCTAAATCATCCGCCTATTATGGATATCCCTCCGAAAAAGCTTTTAAGAATAAATTTCGTTCTGCTTTATCGTTTCGCTCGGAATACTTAATTAATGACTTGGTTATATTTTTGCGTACGTTCATGGCTGCATATTTTTCGCGGTTGAGCTTGATTTAAATATTCGGCAATTTAACATGCGAATTAGTCACTTTTTTATTGATACGGATTAAAAGGAACCGCGCTTATCTACGCAAATATCTTACCGTCCCAGCTAGGAAACTATTTAATTAATTATTGTCACAGAATCAGTAAGAAGAATAATAAGTTAGTCTGAGTAAACTGAAACGTTCGAGTTAACGTTGAAGTATTTAAAAAAAGGAAATTCTTATATCTGCAGCCGAGATTAATCCGACCATCCATTTACTGTGCAAATATCCATTTATCTTACTGGAAAGTAGATGAAAAAAAATCTATAATAGAAATGCCGTATAATTAGTAACTGAATTGTCAATATTCTCTCTGACTATCCCTTTAGATTAAGAAAAGGCGAGAGCCATTAGTATAGCTACAAAGTATTAGCGAAGCATTTGACAAGTAGAATCGTTGTAGAAGAGCGATCGAAACACAATGTATAGCTTTTCAAGTATTCGACAAGAGAATGCTAGCTAGATGCTGCATCGCTTTGACAATACGGCTATTAATTAAAGAAATGTCAAATGAAATTACAGTAATCGAGAATTATCTCGCTTCAAACTGTTTTCTTGTCAAAAGGTGCTTCTGCCTATCTAAAAGCGAACAGAATAAAGAAACAATTAAGACTAGATTCCATGCTGCTTTATTCAGGCGCTGAGGTTGCTTTAAAGAGACAGACGTTTCCTAATCATTAATTTATTCTCTCAAAAAACAGAACTTTGACGAATTAACGGAGAAACTCTGTGAGCTTTCTTTATTTTTCGAAAAAGTCTAGTTCTAGGGCCTCGAAGCAAAATAGCATAACTCATACAGAGTTTAACTTAACACTTTGGCATGAAAGTAAATTGACAAAGTAGAGTTTGGTCAGACTAAAACTTTGATATATTTTAGATGCTACTCGATTTATTATTACAGTGATATTTGCATGAAAAAATCTTAAAGAATCTATTCGTATATTTTGCTTATACAAATATCACGAGTCTCGTGCATAACGAGAAAATTGAATGACGCGAGATTGCAATTTTTCAAGATAATAATTGATAAATCATGAAATAATCACAGACAAGATTCATACAAAACGATCCCTTCAGACATTACATGTGGCTCAATAACAATGACATGAGATCCTCGAATCGTAAAAAGAGAACAGAGAGGAAAAAGGAATAAATTCAGCGGTAAAAAACAGTGGCAAACGAGAGCGCGATTTGAAAGTATAATGCGTCAGAGCAGCATGAGTGCGAATCCTTACCTTGAAGCTGGCAAGATCTTGCACAGTGCAGGCGAGAATGGCTTCCCTGCCGACGGGCGCCGTCACATTCGTAATTGGCTCCTTGAAATTGGGATCTGCAAAAGAAAGAGAATAGAAAATGACTTATGACATATGCGCGTTATATATAAAGCGAGCTATGGCATCGAGTTATAGTTTCTCTCTTTCTTTCTGTCTCGTTCTCACTCCAACGCCAAGGATTATACGAGCGTAGCATGAACACGCTCTTATATGATGCTAGCTCGATACATACACACGAATGCATACTTTTCACCGCGAGGTTTTTATGGTCGCTCGCCCGTAACAAAGTCCTCCGCGGTGCTGCATACGACATTAAAAGGTAATGGCAATAACACGTCCTCGTAATAATGCACCAGGCTACTCCGAGTTATTGCCAGACTAGGACATTCACCGCCAGCCTGATGCATCCACGCCATGCCACATAGTCAAGATTAAAGTCATGATCATCAAGCTTCGTTTTTCCTAGTTTTCAACTTGAAAATATTTCCAGGACTTTTCTCTCCTTCTATCTCCAGAGAGTTCACCGACGGATATTCGAGTAATAAAAGCGGATCGCTTGACGAGTCTTCGATCCCATCTTTTTTCGAGCCAAAATAAAATGCTCTTTTATCGGATCGAGAGTTGAAGCAGTTTAATTTATTCGCAAAGTAGGAGTCAACAATTATACAGCTCGGCTAAAATAACGAGAAGCGGCTACGGCACGAACGGCATTTCATTGCGGACATTCAATTTTATAAATAAAACTTATTTCTCTCTCGAGCAAATCATTTTTACTTCTGTTTTACCTGGGATAAATTATCCAAAGCTTTTTCATATAGAGAATAGCTTCATACCATTGCAAAAACGAAAAACACATTTTTATTTCTCTCTGAATACTGAAATTAATACCGATAACGAGTTATCAAGCACAATTTCAATCTTTGTCAGAAAATGTAACGTACGCTTGATTCGCCGACTAGAAGTCATTCCATCTTTGAGGAGCCTTTTATTTTCAAATTCATTTTCTCAACTTTGCACAACTTTTTAGCAACTTTTACGAATAATTAAGAACTTTAATACTCAATCGAAATCAGCATTCCTCTAACAAATTGACAGGATTCTCATTTGATTTTACTGATTTATTCCTGAGATATGTATTTAAAATCTCTGTAAATTGCAACTAGTATGCTTTTTTAAAATTCGAGAACATTAATGAGTTCGTATTTTACATGCAATGCTCATGAAAATCCTTCGAATAAGTAAATCTTTTCACTGAAAATATCTCTATAAAAAACCTATGAAGATGCAACCATATCGTCAGCAACGACAATCTGGAGGCGGGTCTCCCGTTGTATAGCATCTGTATACTATATACGTATGAGTAAGATGTTTAACGTCGGAAATTCCTCAAGGCGAAGAGAGAGCGAAAGAGAGGGGGAGAGGGAGATAGAGAGAGAGAGAGAGAGAGAGAGAAGCGGGTAGACGTCAAGAGCCACTCGCAGATCACGTCACCCAGTTGACGGGTTTATCCTATGAAAGGCGCAGCAACAGCAGCAGGAAGGTAAGGAGCTAAGAAGTTGTAACGGCAAAACCATTACCTTCGTCGTAAGTAGCAGAGAAACCTCAAGATCGAAGGTGAAGGGGGAGGGAGGGGGGAAGGGTTAGGGTCCTCGAACTAAAGGGGTGGTAGGCCAGCATATCTCTAAGTGTCCTGATGTTTTTTTGAGAGTCTTCTGTCAAAACAGTCAAGCGTGTGAAGAGGATGACGCGCCCTTGAGCACTCTCGAGGATATATGTACGTACAGAGCACTTGCCTTCCTGGACATTTGACCGCTCAACGACACGTTTGCTTAACTCATCGATGAGTCCTTCTGAGGGAGCTTGCGTAGAAAGATTTGTAAGAGCTTTCGATTCCAGCTAATTTATACTAGCGACGATTTATTAGATAAACAGATTAGGCAACTTTCAATTGTAAATACATATTCAAAAAAGTCAATTCTGGTACCAATAGAATAACGAAAAAACATAGTATTGAGCGGAAGTGTTTTCATTTAGCCAAGATAATCTCCGAGAAAGCGAGCCTCTCTTTCTTTCTCTCTTCTTTCCGCGCAAGCTTGTTAACGTTTCTATTGCTCGGGAATCCGTTATGATTGTCGCGATACTTTTTCTTTGCATTATTGAAGTGAATAGAATACAGTCTATTAATGCTTTTGTTATGCAATATTAACGTTCGCTCAAAGTTGCGCGTAATATTAATAATTTAACGAGATATTTAGTTCCAATTTGATGCATTTTTAATTTACTTGTCCAATAACTTCAAATAGCACAGCATGAGTTGAATACTTAAACAATAAATTTCTGCATTTATCTACAAAAATGACTTCCTAATAATTTATGTAAATCTGAATACCATGTAAAGTACGCGGAAAAAAGTTTAAGAGCATTCTTCTAAAAGTAATCCGGAGTACAAATTTTCTCTTATTATAGAAGTATTTCTTTTTGTTATATAAGAAGATATTTTCTTACTGCAAGAGGACTGAACAAGAGGACTGATAACATAATAGTACATTTGGGAGATTTACGCCCGATCAAAGCGCGGGTGAACAGGCCAGATGAGGCTGAATCACTTTCTCGCACATATATCTAATTTGATTTTTCAATACGACATGTGCGAAACGATATTTGAAGCAATTTGCGTCGATCGAGTCACCGAGGATGTAGAGTCGAAAAAATCTTTTTTTCTTATTGTACACCTTATTTCATAAACACTGAGTTATAAGAAGAAATATACTAGCTCCAATGTACAGTCGAGTAGCAAAAACATAATTTTAACTAGTAAAAAATAAATAACAAAGAATAGAGTAGCATCCATCGTCGAATTTTTAAAATTAAAGCCAAGTTGTCGATTCTTTTTTTTTTTTTTTGATCGCATGAAATACGTAATGAGGATACCTGGTCGCAGCCGTTCTCTGACTCCCAATGGTCTCTTATACAATCCCCGTTTTCTGTGCTGACGTTATATATCGCGACGTCTTTATGTGGACTATGGTATAAGCATTCACCTGGACCTACATATTGGATAAAGTAGGCTAGATTTTCATCATTTTGCTACGATTTCAGTGGAATAAATTACATTGTCAATTTAACGAAAAATATGAAAATATTAAATTTGATTCATTGAAGATTTTCACAAAAGATACAAATTACAATGTATACTTGACATTACGTTCGCGTTATTGACGCACCGCAAGGAATGTGGACAAACGAATTCTTCGGTTCAAACGAAATTAAACGCAGATATCTGTGTGACCACTCTTTTCAAGTCTTCGCATTCTTGAGTCGCGTAACTTGCCATTGTTCTCTGTGCACGAACCTTCTTTTTTTTCGTCTATTGTACTCACATTGGACGAATATTTCTCTGGCAGTTTCTTTTTTCCAAGGGACACTATCAGCGGGTTGCATTTCACGCGCGATGTGTTTCCTACATAGCTCGAATTCCTTCTGTAGGCGGATTTACAGAATGCAATTGTCTTACAGTGATACTAAAGTTTTTATCATTAGACGTGTCATTCTGCTTTGTTACTTCTGTTATTAAATCTATAAATTTTAGAAACCGGAATCTTTGTTTTGTGATGCGCTTTGAATTATTAATACAGTTTCATATTCTCGACACATTCGAATTAGTCAATAACTATCATGCGCCCTACATATTCATCTTACCTGCACTAAGATAATCGATTGCATACCAAAAAATTACGTCATGATAACACCGCTGATGTATTTTCTCACATTCACTGTATTCAAATTTTAGTAAGGTCGTGATTCGAACAACGATTGACGGATTGTCAATTTTTCGTATATACGTAACGTCCAGTTCGAGATTCTTAACTTTTCAGGGAGTGAGTGCAATGGCCCACAGGCAAATGCATTATTTATTTCGCGAATGTAGGACAGAAAGCTCTCGGCGTACTCTCTCTCACTCTCTCGTTGTCCCGATGAATTATGGCCGGAAAGATTGATTGTTTGTTCGGTGAGTCAAAGTCCGCACGTGCATTTATTTCCTGGGCTCTCTCTCTCTCTTTCTGCACGAATTTTCACTCGCCAAATATTTTCCAAAGAGGATGTAGATATGGCATCGCGTGTATCAATAAACCAATAAAATTTTGCTTTGGAATTTGGTAGTAGTGAAACGAACTTACTTTTTATCAGATTGGCAATCTCGTACACTCAATAAGACTTATCTCAAGATATTGTGATTAGTGCAGATTGAATTTTAATTAATTGTTTACTGGAAATCATCTCACAACTTTACTTGACAATGTTGTTGTAAAAAGAAATTAGAGTTTCAAGAACTATTGGAAATTTAATTTCAGAATGACACAGATTACACTTATAGCAATTCATCCAATGAACATCCATCATATTGTTAGAATGGTACCATGAAAATCGACCAACAGAATGGATTTACTGATAATTTTCATCCATTCCCGAGCTAAATACATGTGAATAGATGTCAAAATAAAATGATGCACATTTTTAGATCCCAGAAATGCGAATGTAGTTCGATGGTCTGATTTTCGAATTTCTTACTTCTGGCTTAAAATATATAGTCATGAAAACTCATGAACCTTAAAAAGTTCGAACGAGCTATATTTTTTTGTATTGTTACATCATAAACCAAATTTTTTCGTGGTTCATTTATGATTTTTCATTTCTAGCGTTTTGATATAGATTATATCATAAAATCAATAGCCCCATCGAGTCTACATAAAAAAATACATCGAAAATATTTCATAAGTTTTGAAGATAATGTTGTATAGTCCTGAAAGTTGAAGGAAATAAAAATCTATATCATTATCCCTTGAATCAACCGCCGTAGGGTATTATTTTATTTGCTAGGTATATCAACGGATATCAAAAATTATTTAAAAAGATGTAATAAAAAATCTGGCTTGTTTAAAAATTTCAAAAAAGGAAAAAGTCCCTGAAAACTTTTTCAATGTTTGCGAGCGTTTTTTTTTAAGTCATAGCGTTGAAAGAAAATTTAGCGATTCTGGGATCCCAAAAGGGGTACTTT